CAGTGGTCAGTCGGTGGAAGCGAGTTTCACGAGGGGCAGACTCGGTGTGGCCGTTTCCTTGAATAAGTTGGAATATCGCGATAAGGGATTAGAGTAACGACAACACGCAAACATAATATATTAGCAACGGTATTCTGTAAAATTTCCCACTTCAGTTCGCAACACTTTTCGCTTTCGCTCAATTTTCACCATTTTAATACCATAATTTTGGCAAACAAGTACAGCTTGTCTGTTGTAAATCGTCGAATATATAAAGTGATTATTAGAAAGAAAAAAAAAATATTCAGGTAGAATTGTGTATTTTTATTAGAACAATGAAGGACAAGACAAATAGTGGTGTCGAACAGTATTTTTAAAATTTGTTAAAGTCTATATATATCAAAATATTTCCAGCCATCATTAACATTGTCTGATGACAAACGGTCATTATAGCCTATGGACGCCTGCAATACTAGGGACATATGCGCTTGCTAACCAAAAAAAATCTTTATTCGCCCTTTTTGAAAAACCCTATACTATAGTTTTTAAAGAAAAACAGGGAGCTCATTCTACAGCCTAAACCTTCGCGGGAAGAAACTCCTCTGAAACCGTGCTGTACGGGGAGAAGGGATTATTAGTAATAGGGATTAGTAACCTCATTACTAGCAATAAACCTTATCAGATCGACCTCCTCACGGTTCCTCTTAAAAACCATCGTAATTGTTTTTATTATTATGATGGGCTAACTGACCTGCTTCTCGCCAATGTATACCGATAGCACAGGCAAGATTACCGTTACATTATCATCCAATAAAAAAACGCATTGTATGCCGTTTAGGTTCTAGCGTCTAATGATGAATTCCTTGTCGATGGCGAGCAGTTTCAATTTTGCTTAATCTTAATTTTCATGATTTATTATATAATATTAATAATAATTGATAAATGTGGAAGAAGCGAAAGAGGTTTGTTTGAATCGAAGCATTCGGCGTTCCATTGTTTCTGCCTACCCTAATGGGAGACAGGCGTGACAAATATGTATGTATGTATTAATAATAAATCTTTTTATTGAACCATATTTATAGATAGATAGATAGATAGATAGATACTTTTATTGTTTCCTCCAAAAGATTACAATAGTAAACTTATTATAAATATAAATAATTACAAGAAATAATCACAATGAGAAAACAATGGGCGACCTTATCGCTAAGAGCGATCTCTTCCAGGCAACCTTTGGATGGAGAGGAGTAATTATAAACAGTTTAATAAGATTACATATAGTCTTGACTTCTGAACTCGCGTTAACTGAATGTAAATTCAACCGCGTATTTCAATTTAGTTCCATAAATACAGATTAACATCAATTAACAATATATAAAAAACAATATTTATCTAGTAATATGTATGTGTATATGAAAACTAAAACTATGTCCTACAACCTCAATGGTCGCGTACTGTGCGGTTTCAGAGATATTTCCTCCCACGAACAATCAGGTTGTGAAATGAGCTCCCTGCCGAGGTTTTCCCAAAAGACTACAGCATGGGGTTCTTCAAAAGGGGGTAAAGAGGTTTCTTCAGGGTCGGTAACGCGCGCGTAATACCTCTGGTATTGCAGGTGTTCATAGGCTACGGTAACCACTTACAATCAGGTAGGCCTTATGCTTGTTTGCCACCTCAGTGGTATAAAAAAAAAAAAGTTAGCATCGATGGTAGCACACTTATTCAAGTGTACTACGTCGCCATCTTAACGAAATAGTGCTGTCGTCAATCTTACTTCTTTCTAGAATACCAAATATAAATCAATCGCGAATTCACTAGTGAAATTCAAGATCGACTTTACAGAATAACACTCCTTGTTACGATATATACCTACAATTTTTAAGATAATTTTTAGTAAGAAGCGAATGATATCAACACCGGACGTGCCCCAAAATTGGTCCACTACATTACTTTAAAAAACAAAACTTGTGGCTGTAATGTGTCAACGGACGACTTTCAAAAATTTCTAATGGATCAACGCCACTTACCATCAGGTGGGCCGTATGCTTGTTTGCCACCTCAGTGGTATAAAAAAAAAACGCTATAATGAACTCCCTGCCGAGGTTTTTTTAAAAGACTACAGCATGAGGTTCTTCAAAAAGAGGCATAAAGAGATTTCTTTAGGATTAGTAACGCGTAATACCCCTGGTATTGCAGGTAACCGCTTACCATCAGGTGGGCCGTATGCTTGTTTGTCACCTCAGTGGTATAAAAAAAGTTACAATGTTTTTATTAACGATGTTGTTCTATATCTTCTGATAGTACAGTAGCCATCTTTGTGAGATTGAGCAAACATATTAGATGCACTACAAAAGCGAGGCAATCCCAATCCAGATAGCTCTCTGAAACCATTATGATATTGGGTATTGTCCGAGACTTGCATTCAGTTGACATTTACCAATTTAGATGCACAATTATGCATGCAAATAACTTTGTACAAAATTAATCAACATTGAAATATTTTTTATTTATTGCTCAAACCGTATATTTGTTTTTTTTTTTTTTCATACAACTTAGAATAGCAAACAAGCTGGCGGCCCACCTGATGGAAAGTGGTAACCGTCGCCTATAGACATGAGCAGTACCATGAACATAACAGAGTATATGTTTCGCCCATGATACCCCCCATGCGTTGCCATTCCTGTGGACTCAGGTGTTATACCTCTGTACCCAGTAAATTCACGCCATATCCCACCCTTTAAACCCAAACACAGCCATGCAAACACGACTGCTTCACGGTTGAAACACGAATGGGACAGAGGTACCCAAGCAATCGACTTTTGCACAAAGTCCGTATTTATATAAAAATACATGGAACAAAAGATTGTGTTCCATAAAAACACTGACTTCGATTGTAATAAAAAGAAAGATTTATTTTTATTAAAAAAAACTAAACTGCTAAATCTATATTAATAAGATTTCAATGTAAGCAATCTGTAAGTATATTATTTTAAATAAAAAAGTAATTTTCCAAATCGGTTCGCAACTAACGTAGTTATGAGGGAACAAACTTTAAAAAAAAATTACAACCGAATTGAGAAACTCGTTCCTTTTGAAGTCTTTTGAAAAATAAACTTAATGATACATTACTATATTGTCATTCGGCCAACTTTAAAAAAAAATAATCTGACTATTTTAAACTTTTTTTGTGCTAAATTATTATGTACCATTATTAAAATTTAAAAAAAAAATCAATAAGTATTCATAAGTATTTTAATGAATTTGTTTACCGTTTCCGACATTTGTTTCGACTTCATCCAAATTTTCAAGGCAAGTACGAAGAAATTAATTAGATATAACAAAATTAAAGTAAATAAAACAAAATTAATGGAATAAAAGTATGAAATTAATATTTTTTTCATATTCATTTCATTTCAGTACATCGACAAATAAGATACTTTTTTTATATCAAATCATAAGGGCAAGGTCGCGACTTCAAACATACTTATTGTTTGTTTCAACAGAATCGTTTAAAAAAGTACCCAAAATTAGAATAGAATAGAAGGAAATATTTATATGGTGATAACAAAATTCTTATTGAAAAAGTAAACAATTCGATATTCAAAATAATATTAAGTATGCAATTTTTTTTTTAATCATCAAATGGACTGTACAGTTGTTTGCTACCTTTGTGGTAGAAAAAAAAATTAAACTAGTAACAATTCAAAACATTCCATCAATTAATTACTTTTTATTTTTTACTATTATTATTATAATACTATTAGAAATTAACAGACTTTATTCTCAAAAATGAATTATTGGTTTGTTTACATTTCCATTACTATAAATTTTCACGGTACGTATTTAAATTAGGTACTTTTAATTTCAATCCAACGTAACAAGTTTGTGTTGCCATAATTTATTTTCGTGCTCCCTGAACCCTTTTTAGGGCCGCGGCCATGAGAAACAATATAATTATTTACAATTTCGACTTCGATTAGTGGGCGGTTGGATGTTACACATAATACACCCTTACAGTTTCAAGGGTACTTAGGTTACATGAAACACGCGAATCAAAGGGTTGCAAATAATTAGTTGTATTGAAACTAATTTAAAGGGTGATCCGGGTAAATAGTTAAGGGTTAAATTGATAATTGGATATATATATATAACTTTGATGCATTCAGTACAGTGTCAGTACTAAATTAATAAAGTCGAATTTAATGGAATAATGTTATATTTATATATAAATTCAACCCTTTTTGTAGAGCTCTACCTACCCTTTTTGTAGTATTTAGTTAATACATGCTTGACACAGGATGTTTATATTTTCAACGAACTTCAAAAGGAAAACTCTCAATTAGGTTGTTTTTTTATGTTTGTCACCTCATAACTTCTTCACTTTTAAACCGATATGGATAATTCTTTTTTTTACCTGAATGGATATACTTACGGATTAGTTCCATTGAAATTTTATCAAAATCGGGTCAATAGTTTTATTTTTAATAAGAAATAAATGAGTTTTATCATATTTGATGTCAGTTTTTTGTAGGACACCATTTTTATTATTAATTATCAAACTTAGTACAATGGAGAAAGACTAATGAAATATGAATTAAACTATAGAACTGTTTTACCAGTTTTCCAATTCATTATTATTCAATTCCTCATAGAAATTTTGTAGTTATCAAACGATTTCAAATCATAGGCAAGAAAAATATCGACATTATTAGAAAAACACTACTCTTCCACAAAAAAATGTTATAATAAATGCCTGCCGTTTTCACCGATTAAGGCAAAGGTTATTTACTTAAAGGTTTTTAGTAGATACCCACTTTTCACTATTAATTTTCAACAATTTTCTAATTGATTGCACGAAGAAGACGAATGTAAATAACTTTTGAAAACTTTAACCGAGCGAAACCGGACAGGTGTTTATTATATAACCTTATTTATGGATTAGCGTAAATGTTATTTTTTTTTAATAATTTCAATATAGACAAAGTTTCACCAAGTATTTACAATCACAATTATGATATTACCTTAGATTATTGATCCCCACTGCATACCTGACGACAAAAGATTTTATAATGAAATAATTTTTAATTAATATTTTGTAATTAATGTATATTTTAAAAATAATAATAATAGTTTGTATAATTAATAATGTAACTGTAAATTATGGGTATATGGTATACCTGAAAATAAAGATTTATTATAATTATTTTATTTTTTAATTTTTACCTAAATTCTCATCTCTCCTCTTAAGGAGAGGAGATGGCAACAAGTATTTTTATTATAATTTTATAGATAGAGCCTCAAGCCACAAAAACGAATCAACTTTTTGTGACTCGTTTTTATCAATATTCTGTTATTATTATTATTATTTTATAAATAAAATGTGTGTTTACGCATTAAAAAGATGCAGAATTTATAAGACAAAATAAATATAGAAGTTATAAAACAATCACTTTTAACTATTTATCACGCAAAGTTGTATGAAAAAGTTGATATGTTTTTCTCGAAACATTACTATGGGAGACACTCTGTCTATATAATCTAAGGATATTACTTCTTTGTTATGCATATTAGTTTTATTAGAATATTTATTCTAAGTTGCATGTAGAAATAATAGACTGACATATATTATATATTTATTGTCTTACTAATGCCTGCCTATATGTGCTACCAGTTTTGTATGGCAAGTTTTTCTTTTTCTTGTTTTCTAAACTTGTATCTTTTAAAAAAAAAAAATATTATATATAATTCACAATATTTGCAAACTAAAACAATTTAAAAGCTACATTATCAAGGTCATTAGATTTAATTAATTATCATCATTATTTCAGCTATTATCTGTCCACCGCTGGATATACGCCTCCCCCATAGACTGCCATAAGGAACGATCCTGAGCCACCTGCATTCACTGACTCCCTACAATGCATTTGAGATCGTCACTCCATCTAGTGTGGGGTCGTCCTACAATGCGTTTGCCCGAACTGAGTCGCCACTCGAGTACCTTTCTTGCCTATTGATTGTCGATTCTTCAAGCTATGTGACCAGCTTGCTTCTCCTTCTATCTAAATCATATATTCACAAAACTATACCTGTAGCATTGACTAGGGGGAAGGGATAGTTAGTAATGGAGACGTTAGTTCCCATACGCTATCAATATACCCTATCAGGTCGACCTCCACGCGGTTCCTCCTGGAAACTATAGTAACTAATTTATCGTTAATTTCGTCACGATGGGCTAACTGACCTGCCTTTTCATCCTCACCTATCACCTATCACCTGTCACTGGTACCCACCAGTGTATACCGATAGCACAAGCGGGATTACCATGTCATTTTTATCTATTAAAAAAAAAAGCATTGACTATTCGATAATTCATTTACATCACGCTACATACAATTTCAAACATTGGAGTTTAACCTCTAAGGATACACGTGAAAGTTAATTCGTGGTTTTAGCAATGTCAATATTGTGGAGTAAATAGTCATGTAAATCACTTCTACAGATGTAGGGATAATTAGGTTTGAAGGGCGGCATTATTCAAAAGTTACTTACTAATGTAAAGGGAGGCTTTGAACAGAGTTCGTGGCAGACTCGCCCCTTGTCGCGTTAGATTCTAATTAGTGTTTCGATTCTCTATTCGATTCGAGCTAATGATATTTGAACTGTAATATTAGATTTTTTATAATCGATTTTTTTTCTGTATATATCATTTTCTATGTGTGTGTGTGTGTGTGTGTTTTTTTATATAACTGATATTTTTCTTTATACTTTTCTTTTTTTTTTTGTATCGTTCTCTATGTGATTTTTTTTTACAGCTGTCGTTTTTCTATATATTTTTTCTTGTTTTTTTTTTTGTGGGTTGTTGTCTATGTGATTTTATTTATATATTTATTGTTTGTTGACCACATTAAAAAAAATGTCTAGTTCAAAAGACGGACTTACTTACTTACTATATAGCTTTCTCTCGCAGTCAATCTTTAACAAAACAAATGTGATTATGCGGTGAAAAAATTAAAAATTGTTGCAAAATAAACAATTACACGTACGTATCCATATATTTTTTTATACAACTTAGAATGACAAACCAGCTGACGGTCCACCTGATGGAAAGTGGTAACCGTCGCCTATACACATGAGCAGTACCATGGACATAACAGAGTATACTGTTTCGCCCATGATACCCCCCATGCGTTGCCATTCCTGAGGACTCAGGTGTTATTCCTCTGTACCCTGTAAATTCACGCCATATCCCACCCTTCGAACCGAAACACAGCCATGCAAACACAGCTGCTTCACGGTTGAAACACGAATAGGACAGAGGTACACAAGCAATCGACTTTTGATATTGATTTATTACTTTTTTTTATAATTGTAATTTTATTGTATATATTTTTTTTATGTTTCATTCTCTATGTGATTCGAAGTTTACTATAAGTGGCATTTTTCTGTAATTATTTTATTGGTTATTTCTGAAAGGTATATAAATTAACTTTTGCCATGTACTGTAAATATGTAAAACAAATTACCAACAGCGTCAGTTGCTTATAAATACTCAATAATGGAGACCTTCAAGAAAAGAATTTATATATTTTTAAAAGGCCGACAACGAATAGGCAACTCCCCTGTTGTCATTAATATCGTAGAACCGCAAGCCCGTTTGTCGCCCTTACACATAAAAAAAAATTAAAAGATCTTCCCTACATTGTTACACCTCTGTCTCACTCGTGATTTCTTCGCAAGCAGCCATGTTTTTATAACTGTGTTTCGATTTGAAAGGTAGGATACAGAAGTGCCGTTACTGGTTCAAAGGCTTCATGAGTTCCTTGATAAATAAAAAATACCATTTTGAACGGTGTGGACTGCCGTTCGGTGAGCGTGGACTGTAGGGGCGTTGGTTCAGGCTGGAGTGAAACACAGGGATTACTATTCTGAAGCCTCCGGTACCGTCTGAAGAGAGTATTTTTTCTTCTTGTCCTATTTCTTCTCGAGTGTAGTGCGTCGCTGCCCGGAAGCGAATGCCGCTCGACGGGAGGCGGCCTATCTTTATACCCGCCCGCTCGCATGATAACGTTTCCAACTCGCGTTAGCGAATCTGCGCGAGCGGGACGGGGCGAGAAAGAACGAGACGCGTGTCTCTTCAGATCGGTACTCTATAGCGTTTATTTATTGCAATTTACAAGTTCTTAATTCTATTTATTGTTACAATTTCTATTTCTATTCGTAGGTAATAATGACAACACGCAAAGGAATACTTTATTTAACTTACACTATCTTAAATCTATGTAAATCTATATAAAATAACAGAATACAAAAACGATTAAACTAGAGACTTAACAACTATCTATAAACATTGCTATATACAATAATGTCGCGAACATAATCTCCCGCCGCAGCTCTCGTAGCTGGAGTTAACTCGTGTTCGCGTCGCTCGATGTCGATGTGGGCAGTATGATCAGCTTCTTAGTGGGTCGCCGTAGGATGCCCTTGTTCGTCCGCACGTCGACCGCTCGGATCTCGCCGTCTGGTCCAGGGTAGGTTGCCACCACCACGCCTCGCGGCCACGTGTTGCGAGGCAAGGTCCCATCAGCTATCAGGACCAGGTCGTCCATTTTGATGGCTCCGTGTGTAGCTCGGGGCTCCCGCCGGTGTTGCAACTCGGGTAGGTACTCCTTCACCCACCGGTTCCAGAAGCAGTCAGCTAGCCTCTGGCTGGCACGCCACTCCTTGTGTCCCGCCGCGTCGCTCTCTGTGAAGCTGCCTGGCAGTGGGACGCGCGATGGACCGCCCAATATGAAGTGATTGGGGGTTAGGGCGCTGTCGTCGTCTGCCGATGTTGACACGTGGGTTAGCGGTCGACTATTGAGGGTGTGCTCGACCTCGACCAGCAGAGTGTGGAGGACCTCTTCCTTGGGGGCCCGCTCGTTCAACGTAGCGGCTAGTGCGGTCTTCACGCTACGCACCAACCGTTCCCACGCACCTCCCATGAAGGGTGCGCTCGGGGGAATGTAGCGCCACCGGATGAAATGGACTGATGACTCTTCTTGGATGGCTTCCTCGGCTGCTTTCTTCAGTTCGACGTCAGCACCTCTGAGGTTGGTGCCTTGGTCGGACCATAGCTCAGTGGGACACCCTCTGCGGCTTATGAAGCGCCGCAGGGCCATTATGGCGGAGTCCGTGCTGAGGCTGCCGGCGATTTCTAGGTGGACTGCGCGCGTCGTTAGGCAGGTGAAGAGCACTCCGTACCGCTTCTGGTGAGTGCGGCCCACTGTCACGGTCATAGGCCCGAAGTAGTCTAGGCCGGTGAACGTGAACGGTCGTTGATGATGCGCCAGCCTGCTCTGTGGATGGTTGCCCGTTGACGGCTGCGCCGGTCTTGCTCTTCGTAGGCGGCACAGCTGACACCTCTTCAGTTCACTGCGGACGGCGTGTCGTAGGCGCAACACCCACAAGTGTTGTCGCACCTCGTTCGTGGTGATCTCGAAGCCGCCGTGGTGAAGTTTCCGATGCACCCATGCGATGTATAGGCGTACCCAGGTGTGGTTTCCGTCGACGATGGGGGGCTCTCGTTGCTCGGCTGACAAATCGGCGGCGGCCGCTATTCTCGATCGAAGTCGCAGAATGTCGTCGTTGTCTATGACGACCGACAGCTGTATGAGTCGACTGGATGACGGCAGCTGTTTTCCATGTTTCAATACTGCGATTTCGTCGCCGAACGCCTCTTGTTGTATCGCGCGAATCCATAGCCGTCGCGCGCGATCTAGGTAGTGTGTGTCTATGGGGATGAAACACACAGATGGACTATTGCTGTTCTTGATTTTCATCTTCGTCTTCTCTCTATCGGATCGGGTAATGCTATAGACAACTGCGTCGCGTTCTGTAGCTTGTGTACGCGTTCTTCTCCCGTTTCCGCTTGACTATCGTCGCTCGTACTATCTTCACGCGGCCACTGCTCTTCGGGGAGGTACAGGAAGTCCGGCCCACGGAACCATCTATGCTGCGAGCCGAAGTCCGTCGGTGGGTCGCGTGTGGCGTCGTCTGCTACGTTGTGCCG